GTGAAAATACTAAACAAAAACCGTAACTAATATGAGTAATAAATCGGCAGCCAAAGTGACGTCGACCGTCCGAAGGGGAGAGTGTCCGATCAAAAAATATGTTTGAATACGGTTGAAACAACGTCAGAGAGAAAATGTTTCTTCAAATAACTCAAAATTATGAGAATATATACTATTTTTGATAGAGTGTGAGACAAATACCAGGATTTGAAAACACATGTTATTTGATGAAAAGGGATATATCTATTCCTGACATTGTTATAAACCTAGCACAACATCAGACTGGACATTGTAGTCTGCATATACGAATTAATTATATTGATGACGCTTGTAAATGATTGTGTATTGTTTTTAATTTTGAAAATTAAATAAATTATAATTTTTACATAAATAATTAAATATTATTGCCAGCACTTTGCAATGGGAAATGATAAAGAAGATGATGTGTTTGTCCATAAACATGTATCAAAAAATCAAAATCAAAATGTTTGACGTAATAATTAATGAAAATGGTGTAACGTCATACTGGTCGATTCGCACTATCCACGACCATTAAAGACCCCAATTTTTTTCCAAAACTGTAACGTTCCATCAATAAAAATTAAATCTTCTTGACTTGGATTTCCATAAGAAAATATTTTGATATACATTAGATATATAGAAACCATTAATTTTAACAAAAACTTCACTGTCCACGAACTTTTTGGACAACCCTCGAATATCAAAATTTTCCAAAACACACCTTTGCTCTTCATAAATGGTTGAATAATTCCAAAGAGGGGATTCAAAGCATAAATTCATTTTCTGTATATAATCATTAGAAACCTCCTTCTTAGTACCCTGACTCATGGCATGAATCTCATCATTTTGAACAGACATTATAACTATGTACTTAAAGCATCGGCCTAAAACCAGGAGCAAAAGAGAAAATTTTCAAAGAATTAAGGTTTCGTCAAAGATCAACATGTCTAAAAAATTATTTTTACGATTGCTCCAAAACTGTGTGTGGTATGAAGTCAAAACGTTAACATTTTGAAAATATATCACTGATTAATAGATAGAAAGTATCACTTGATAACACATATTTTTAAAAAGATATTTTTTGAGAAAAATTGTATCAGAAAATGTGCATATCTTTTAATAAATGCACCTGCTTAATTCTGTCCTTTTTGTGAAAACCAACATTGTAAAAATGATATATGTTTATCATTGAAGGGCAAGTTGGACGTGAATGGTCTCTGAAAGGCTGTTATTGAAAACATGACATGTATAAAGACAAGACCCCTATAGAATCTGCCATTTGCAGTCTACTTTCACTTTCAAGTCTTAACATTTCGACAAAATAAACAGGGAAAACAACTTTCCAGAGGCTATCCAAGTCCAACTTGCCCTTCATTGATAAACATATTTTGTTTCTGCAATGGTGGTTTTCATTAAAATAACGGAATTAATTAGGTGTATTTTTTTGAAAATATATGCAAATTTTAGAAGAATTTTTCTCAATTAATATTATTCCAAGTATTTTTTTATTAAGTGATAATTTCTATCTGTTCATCAATAAACAATTTATAAACTGTAAAAGTTTTAACTTTCTACCTTACATAGTTTTGGGGCTATTGTAAAAAATAATTTTTTGGACATGTTGACCTTTGACGAAACCTTAAGCCATTTTCACTATATAATCAATAGAGCCTCGTCCTTATACACCAGAACCTCTGACCCAGGGGCCTAAAATTCATAAATTTGGAAGAGGCATCCTTCCATAGTCCGTTTGGGATATGATATCCCAAACAGGCTATAAAAATGAAAAAAATTACAGTGCAATTTTTTTTTTTTGGGGGGGGGGGGGGCTATATAGTTCATAAATCCACATCAGGGCACTTAAAAAGGAATAATTTTTGTTTACAAGTTCGCTTGTATGCCCGTTGTTTAGGAGATTGATCCCTTTGAAGTTCCTTAACTTCTTGGGGATGGATCTAACAAATGGTTGGGTTGCAGAAAAACTTGCTCACCAAAAGTTATTCCTTTTTAGTGTCCTGATGCGGATTTATGATTTTTATAGCCAAATTAAAAATTTTCAATTTTTGCACTGAAAATTATTAGTCCATTTGAGATATTATATCCCAAACGGACTATTTTATCCCATTTGGGCGATTGGTCCCAACCTGATAAAATTAAAACATAATATACTCAGAGATAGAGCAGAAGAAGCAACGAATTTGCATTTCCAGTACTAAATATTCAGTAATGCAACAAAGGAACCCCTGATATAATGACAAAATTCGAGTGGGTGGGGCTATGTCATATTTCACAGGTGATTCCTTGCCACAAGACCTACAAAGGGTACTTTAAAATTTGACTTCTTGTCCTGTAAGTTTGACCCAGCTTTATCAAAACCTTTACCAAATCCACACATTTTGAAAACAGTTAATGCTAAGGCTTTCATACGTTACAAGTGTATCCATGATGAGAAGACATTTTAATTGGTTTAAATTTATTTGACCTTGAATTAAGTGGTTGACCCACCATTATAAAACTTAAACCTTGGCCAAAGCTTTTGAAATCTTAGTCCGAGAACTTTCATATTTTGCAGGTGTTCTTGTGACAGGAATTTCCTGAGGGAACCAAAACTTTCTACCTTTTGACCTTAACCTGAATTTGAAACCCTTGCTTTAAGCAGCCAGGCGGCATATCAGTGTTTCACATATACACAAGCACATCTTGTTTTCAATGTACAAAAGAAAAGCGGAATGCAATTTTAGTGCTTTATTGTGCTTGTACTATTTAAATTATATAAAAAATTGTTTTTATTGCACAATCAAGAAAACACAATAAATCTGAGGAACTTTTGAGACTGCAATATATTTTAAACAGAAAAAAAAAATTATAAGCACATTTTACAAAAATAAATAACTATTATATTAAAGGGCTATTTACCTGTGTGATTATTTACCTGTTTAACTTTGAATCTGTGTGACTTTACACCTATGTTATTTCTAACCTGTTTTACTATGTATCTGTGTGACTATTTACCTGTTTGACCTTCTGTTTTAAATATTGAGAAATTATTTTAAAGAACAATAAAACAAGTCATACAAAAAGACATCTTTGTATAATTTAAGGTCAAATGTTCATCCCTGATTCTATCAAAAAACAAATACAATACTAAAACTAATACTTATATAAATGGGACTATATACCAGTTCTAGAAATTAATAACTTCTCAACTTTATCCATGACAATGATCAAGATAGAAATGATTTATTTTTAAATGCATATGATGATTTAGTAATGTACTAAAATTTGAACTCGAATATTCATTTTTTCAGTTCATTTGATCCAAAATAATATTTTTCATTTGTCTGAAGATAAATAAATTAGCTCCACTTTCAACTTTTTTTCATTTAATTATGTACAACTATTGTGTAACTAAAACTTGAACATAATTCAAAAAATTCTCTGATATCATAATGTTTTATCCATATGCAATATCTTATTTTTATTTCAAAGTGCAATAACTTTTGAAACATACATTCTGAGCACCAATTTTTGAAGAAAAAAAACATACAAATATAAAAGAGAAAGAGTAAAAAACCAAAAGACAGACAAAATATAAAGGACCTTACAATATATAATGTATGTAAACCCACATTTCTTGACAGTGAAAAATAAGACCTTTCTGTGTGGGACTTAGGTTGAAAAAAAAACAACAAACACAGAATGTCAAAATGTTCTTAAACAAGGTGACGCACATCTGTGGTCTTAAAAAACAAAATCAAACTAACAAAACTACACATTTAAAGTGCTTAAACTAACTTTCATTATGCAGACAAGTGAATGATATCCTTTAAAAAACCCTGCAAAATATTCATGCCATTTCAAACAGTATTTTCAAAACTTAAAAAGGGCCACTTGTATCTTCTTTAAATTTTACATAATAATAAAATAAAGACATATATGGAGGTTTCTTGATTTTCCTATTATTTTTCCATCATGGATTGAAACATCACATCATAATTGGATTAAATCTCTCTTTTTATATTTTTTTTCCATTTGACGATTTAATTTTTTTTAACAATAATGCCATGTTCAAACTGATTTCATTTCCTGTTATTTTGCCTTCATGTATTGCAATATCATGCCATAATTGGAGTATCTCTCTCTCTCTTTAAATTATTAAAATAGGTTTGCTCACCTGGCCATTTATGTTTAAAAAGAAAAAAAATATGTTATTTCAAACTTATTTCTTTTCCTGAACTCTCTAGCAATAAAAATAAATTTGAATACCTTTACAAAGTCAATGAGAAGTAACTCTTGCTGTGAAAAACTCATTATGCACAAGTTATTGATAGAAGTATTTCTATGTAAAAAAAAATGTTTTGACAAGAGAGGTAATTCAAACAATGGCTAATTCCTCCTCTACTGTTTATTACAAAAGTTGTCTCCTCTAAATTCCTTGCTCATTAGACCATGTATCTACTAGCTGTACGTCAATATATTTTCACCACATCTTATTTTCACGAGATAAATACAGTCATTGACTCTTTCTGAGCAAAAAATTATTTTAGCAAATTTTGGCTATTGCTCTTTAAAATCTTTAGAAATAACAATATATTATTATATGCAAGAATTAAATTTCCACAAGCACACTTTTTCGTGTAATTTTGTGAAGATGAAGTTCCCATTAATATTAATTGATAAACAGTATTTTAAATGAAATTATTTTCACTTTTTAAAAAAGTTTTGCATAAATAAATGCCTTTATTACAAATTTTTACTTACAATTCACCAATCTCTTCATAATATCCATGTTATCACCCATTCACACAAAATGAAAATAAATACAAACACACTATTTCACACACCCCTCTCTGACCCTCCTTGTATTTTCACTTTCACATCTTTAAGTCTTCTAAAGCCCTGAGCTCTGACTACAACTTTGTCTAACACCTTACTTTATTCTATTTTCTTCCTTCATCATCTGAGTTTTTGCCAATCCCAGCTTTTCAGAAATCACAATCTGCTGCCATTTTATTCCTTTTTGACGTCAGGTCCTGACTTTACACCCTCCCTGTTGTTAGACTCTATCCTATTCTCTATTTCCTATGTTTACCCATGTCTTACGGCGGCACAGTAAACATAGATCTGTTTATATACTCTACAATGTTTGGTATCCAGTCACGTAGAAAGGTCATGACCCTCATACTGATGTAAGGGTGGTAGATTTCTCTCTGTCTCCTGGCACCACCTTTTATTATCGCCAGGGCGGTGTCACTCGGCGTTTCCGCTGGTAACTTGGCCAGAAGGAAGTGTTGGCCATAATCTCGAAGACCACGAATTGCATTCTCTGTACCTGTTTTTAAATAAAGTATATATTACTGGTTAATTACAGTAAAACTTGTCATATTCTGACATTTAATGTTTAATTATGTTGGTTATTATAATGTTTCAGTAAAACTTCAAATTAATGTTTGATTTTAGGAAGGAGAGGTCAAGGTCACAGGAATGGTTAAAGTTAAAAAGATACTGCAATGAATAGCCATCATTGAGTTTCAGCAATATGTGAATATGAATGGCGTCAACGTCCATTATTCTTTAATAACTTTTTTCAAGTTAAAGTGACTCTTTTTCTGTCCCTCGGGTGTTAAGTAATAAACTTTTTTAGAATAACTTACCAACGAGTCCTATGACACACAGGGTGATGGAGACCTCACATCCCTTGAGTTTAAATTCCTGTCGCAGGGCACCAAAAAATCCGTCCAGAGCAAATTTAGTAGCAGAGTAGACGGCAGTGAAGGGTTGTCCTATCTTCCCTAAAAATAAGACAAATTGTATTATACCTTTACTTACTATAGAAAAACTTTTTGTCAAATTTTCAAACCATTATTTCTTTACATGCCAGTAAATTAGCTGAGCATTGGGAGTTTTTTTTTTGGTGGCATCAGGTTTTGAGAGGTCACCCGAGGAGGAGGAACTTTTACCTGCAAATGAAGACACCATTATACAGCTACCACCACATGAGGTGGGACCCTTACCAGGCAATGAAGACACTACAATGAGGCTGCCATTAAATTAACCACTATATAATGTGGTATACCCTTACCTAATAGTGAAGACATCACAATGAGCTGCCATTAAATTAAACACCACATGAGGTGGTACTCTTACCTGCCAGTGAAGAGACCACTATGAGGCTGCCATTAAATACCACCACATGAGGTGGTACTCTTACCTGCCAGTGAAGAGACCACTATGAGGCTGCCATTAAATACCACCACATGAGGTGGTACTCTTACCTGCCAGTGAAGAGACCACTATGAGGCTGCCATTAGAAGCCACAAGATGAGGTAGTGCGTGAGAGGTGAGGTGGACGTAAGCCTTGAAGTTGACATCCACGATTTTATCCGTCAGGGAGAGATTCTGTGGTGACCCGTCCCACATACCCAGGGGGATAGGCAGTATGTGGTTCAGGACCAGTATGTCTATCCCTCCAAGTCTGTTGTACGCCTCCTAATGAAGACAATAAAACATATATATCACAAAGTCTGTCATAGGCCTCCTAATCAAAATGATAAAAACAAATTGAAAAAAAAAAACGAAAAAAAAGTCCTCCTTAAACTTTCTCTTTTCTTTTCATTAGATAATACAATCAACCAAAACATTTCTGATTTTTATTTTTTTTTTATGCATATTTTTGTTGATCTTAAGTTTTTATTGTAAACTGGTTACAAATGTTAAAATTCTTTAAGCCATCTTCCATTAGCGCTTTTTTTTTTAGATCTGCAACTTTCCTATTTGTTTAAACAAAAGAGCAGGGGCATAGCAACGGGGGGGGGGGGGGGGGGGGGGCCCCCCACTTTTTTTCCCAACCTTACTTATACAATAGGAAATGTTAATTGAAAGCATGGTCCCCCCTTCTTTAGTGATGTACCGAAAATGTAGTATTAGTATTGGTTCTGAAAGTAGTTGACACTGAGAAAAAGTTTACCTACTTTGGATCTGAAACCTGTATAAACAGTAAACAAACATATTTTTTGGTTTGGCCTAATAATGCTAAAGTGATAAATAGCTAAAGGTGTTTGAAAAAAGATATTGGTGAATTATATAGGTACTTTAGATCTGAAACCTGTATAACTTCTTTTGTTGCCGACATGTTGACCATATCTGCTGCTTTGTAGAAATATTTGCCGTCCTTCGGACCGAGATCTTTACAGCGAGCCACGACCTGAAACAGATAACTGACAGCCTGAAAATCAGTACATACTGGGACATCATAAACTAAATTTTATTTGTGTGCCAGAAAATTTCGCAAGTTCTGTCACCTAGTTTATCTGGTGAATAGAAATCGAAGCAAAATCAGTACATAAATAGGCACAACGCAAACTAAATTTAATATGTGTGCATGAAAATTTCACGAGTTCTGCCACACAGTACATCTCATGAATATAAATCGAAGGGAAATAAGTACATAAATAGGCACACTGCAAAATATATTTTATCTGCGTGCGAGAATATTTCACAAGTTCCACAATCTACTTTAACTCCTGAATATAAATTGATGTGGCATACCATACAACTTTTATTCACGTGTGAGAAATATTCTCAAGTCTCACGACCTAATTTAATTAAAAAAATAAAAATAGATGCAAACCAATCATTTTGCCAATAAGTATTTGTAGAAAACCCTTTCTCAGTTGGAAACATTAATTGTCACAGGGTGATTTCAAACTGACAAATCGCGAATAAAAGTTGACACGAGTTGTTTTACAGTTTTCAAAATCTACGGCAATCACTAGGTATCATATATAAAATACATGGTTACTGTCTTGGAATATATGTGATATTTGGGCAAAGGTAAGAAAACGTGATAAAGGGCAAGTCTTGCCGAGCCCTCTTACGTTTTCGACCCGAACCCAAATATCGCTTATATATCAAGACAGTTATCAAGTATTTTGTTTATCATGCAACAAAATTTTACATTTAAACATCCAAAAAAAGCTTTTTTCAACTGATTTAGACACTCCTCTGCAGTTGAAACTATGACGCCATGGCGTTAACATTGGAATATACATGAATTCACAACGCTTTTAGAACGTCGGAATACATGCATGAGGCTTTATTAGGGCAGTGACCGTATAAAGCTTTGGTTTATTAGGCGACCTTTATTAGGTCAATGCAAGGGGTAGTTGCAGGATAAATGGAATTGTTTTGTCAACAGTATTCATAAATTAGTGTATTATTGTCTGTGCAAAAGCCACTATTTTCAGTACACATACAGTATAATCTGAATTGAGAAAAAACAAATTTAACAGCAGACTCAAAGCACATTTTTTAAAAATATTTTCTAATAACTAATTTTGGGATAAAACCCTAAGTTTATTCTAGACAAACCAAAGCACTAGATTCCTGTTCCACTTAAGGAAGCTAACCTGCACAGGAAATTAACAGTTATCAGAGAACAATAGAAAGAAGGTCAAAAATATCAAGTACAGTACACTCTACTGTTCATACTTAACGTGTAGACAGTTTTCATGAGGACTTCACCATAGTTCTGATGTATAGAATATTTTATGAACAGCAAAGTGCATGCTCTGCTCTAAATGGATTACAAGACTTGAGAGGCAATGTAGGCTTCATCATGATACATCCTTATCTTTTCAATATAAATTTATTTAAGAATTAAAGTCCGCGTTTTCGTGAATGTTGCAGAATAACCTCCGAGGTCGAGAAATGTTGTTTGAAAGATAAAAGCCGAGGCGTTAGCCGAGGCTTTTATATTTCAAACAACATTTCGAGATCGAGGAGGTTATTCTGCATCATTCATGACAACAAGGACATTATTTCAATTCTACCAAGACCGAAAAATACGGCTGATCGTTTCCTCTATAGAGAAACGAATTAGGTCACCATGTCTCGATTACGCTGTTTTATTTAACACCAGAAGTACAATTTGTTTGCTTACCTGTGTTAGGAATGCAGACGATCTGAGCTTTGGTTACATTGAAAATAACCTTTTTTAAATTACAAATGTGTTTGTTATATGTATTGATCAGTTAAAACGAATATACAATAACACAATCATGTTCCTGTTTTACTGCTAAAATCACGTTGTTTAATGTGTAGGGAGGTCTGTGGAATAGCCCCGCTTAGCTAAAAAAACCGTCTTCATCAGCAACTTTATGAAATTTACAATGTTTATTTTCTTATAAAGACGACATATCGATGCGGTCTAAACAAGTATTTCATTCTACAGCCAAACATGCATTTGAATTTTTTTAATTTGATACATGTTTCTGATCTGATAATTTTTTGATGACGTTCGTGATCTATTGGAGAATAATGTCCGGCGGCTTCCTTTCATGTTTTGAATTATCGTGGTAGAATATATTTTAATTTCATAAAAACACTAATCAGTATTCTTTTCTTAAAGAACAAGGGACTGAGAAGCAAGCTCATAATCCTTCTGGTCACTAATATATATATATATATAGACAAGTGTACCTGTTTGAGTATATTCTCTCTCCGTGCTGTTACGAGTACGTCGGCCCCCATACGCGCGTAGTGATACGCTATCTGTTCACCTATTCCTGTGGAGGACCCCGTCACAACAACTTTTTTTCCTTTTAGTACATCTAAAAGAAAAAAAACAACTGTGCTGTATGATAAATTATAATGTACAGTTTAATTCTGAATCAAATTATATTTCATGCTGTTTACTCTTGATGTCTGTAACAGTGCCTATAATTGAGGCATTACTATAAACAAGCTTTTATTCCTTTGTGTTTGTGGGAAATATACTTGAGTTTCAAAACCTACTTTAAGCAGCGTACATTAATCGCCGCGGACCAATTATTTTGCTTTGTTTTTGAAGAACACTTTTCCTTATTCGTGAAAATTAAATGTTGCAGACCGATTTCAAACTGACAAATTGCTAATAAAAGCTGACACAAATAACAGTTGGTTTACAGTATGTGTCTGTATACCTGATCAACACATGGGGATCAAAGTTGGGGGATGCTCTCCTCACGTAGGCATCCTGATCCCACCTCTAGTGTCTCTAGGGTAATTTAAAGAAGCTGATAAAGCTTCAAAGCTAGGCTTAGCGATGTGCAGGAGCATGGAACACTGTGACTAGGGTAAAATAAAGAGAGAAAATCAAATCGTACCTGGGTTAAAGTCATCGATCAGCCAGTACCCTACCAAGACTCCTATGAACAGGGCAAAGATCTTCTTCCACATAATACCACGGGGTCACTCTAGAATATAAAAGAAAAGAAGTGAAGATTCAACTTTAAATAATGCTGCATGGTCACTGCATAAGGAATTTTTTTGTAATAATTTATTGACCTTCATTGCAGACCAATTTAACAGCCAAGTTATACTTGCAGGTCAAATCTAAATTCGATCCAAAACCTGTATCCATCATTAGAAATATTATAATTGCTTGTAAATTAAAGGCCAGATGTACTTAAAAAACTAAATTAAAAGCCATCCAATCCTAAATAAGGTACATTTGAAAGTCTGCAAAGTTATTCTTGACCTTTTGATGTTTAATAACAACTGGCCTTGACTTAATGTGAATTTAAACTATTCTTTTATTTCACAATTGTCTTGCAGTCAACTTAAACTAAAAGGTCAGGTGCCATAAATACAGTTTAAATATGTGAGCATAACAGTGAAATAAACATTTTGAAAAACAAAGATAAAATGTAAATAAGATTTCTTCTCCCTGGTCCCATAGAAAAAAAAAATCCAGTCAAACCTGTTCTTTACTCCTTCACAGTCCACCCTAGTCCGTTTGATATACAGTTTTATCTTTAACAGTCAGATATTCAATATTGGAGAGAGACGTCTTAATTCAGTGTGTGAGTTAGCATTGTTTACTGGAGAGGGGGAGATATAGGTATAGATATATAACGCTAGGTAAATGTAGATTATACTTAAGTAAATTTAGACACCTAGACAAAATCTGTGTCATCTTTGTGGTTTATACCCGGTGTTGTTAACTCTGAAGTCCATGCAAGAGAGGTTCATTTTACTGATAAAATTAAACATGACATTGCCAAGGACACATATTGAATGCTCTTCTATGAAATACATTCAAAATGCTACAGTTTTGGTCTGATTTCAATGTAACTTGGCACACAAGTAGACTACACTTAGATAGATAATTCTGCCAAATGGTTAATGAAATTTCGATGAATAATAATTCTACAGGGCCTCAATAACTATAAATACACCCATATCTATTCCTCCAAGATTTTATGCACATTTTAGGTTGTAATGTCCAAGTACACTGGATATCAATGATTTTTATAAATATAAAGTTCATATCTAGTTATAAAGTAAAACAAAATCCTAAAACCAATTGCAATGAAAAAGATTTTCCATTTTTGAGCTCACCTGAGCCGGAGGCTCAAGTGAGCTTTTCTGATCAAAATTTGTCCATCGTCTGTTGTTGTCGTTGTTGTCATAAACTTTTCACATTTTCCTTTTCTTCTCAAGACCCACTGGGCCAATTTCAACCAAACTTGGCACAAAGTATCCTTGGTTGAAGGGGATTCAAGTCTGTTCATATGAAGGGTCATGTCCTTTTCCAAGGGGAGATAATTATGAATTAGAGAAAAATTAATGGCATTTAAAAAAATCTTCTCCTCAGGAACCACTAGTTCTGGAAAGATAAAACTCATGTGGAATCATCCTCAGGTAGTGTAGATTCAAGTTTGTTCAAATTATGACCCCCCGGGCTAGGGTGGGGCCGAAATGGCTGACCCAAATTTTACATAGGAATATATAGGAAAAATCTTTTAAAATCTTCTTCTCAAGAACCACTGGGCAAGGAAAGATGAAACTCAGGTGGAATCATCCTCAGGTAGTGTAGATTCAAGTTTGTTCAAATCATGACCCCCAGGGCTAGGGTGGGGCAAAAATGGCCGATCAAATTTTTACATAGGAATATATCGGAAAAATCTTTTGAAATCTTCTTCTCATGAAACCACTGGGCCAGGAAAGATGAAACTCATGTGGAATCATCCTCAGGTAGTGTAGATTCAAGTTTGTTCAAATCATGACCCCCAGGGCTAGGGTGGGGCCAAAATGGCCGATCAAAGTTTTACAAAGGAATATATCGGAAAAATCTTTAAAAATCTTCTTCTCAAGAACCACTGGGCCAGGAAAGATGAAACTCATGTGGAATCATCCTCAGGTAGTGTAGATTCAAGTTATATATCCAAGGGATATATAGGGAAACCTTTTTAAATCTTCTTTTCAAGTACATGTACTTCAAAGCTATGATTAGTGATATTTATATGGAATCATCCTCCTGTAGTGTAGATTCTAGTTTGTTCAAATGATGAACACCTGGGGGGTTTAAATTAAGCCCCCCCCCCACCCCAGTAAACTTTCAGTTCTGATCTGATATGTGCTTTTTCCTAGCTGATGTGTTCAGGTGAGCACTGTGGCCCCTGGGCCTCTTGTTTTCATTTTCTAACCCCTTTTCTTATGGTATTACTTAGCCCATCTGAGTTATTTACACACCATTTACAAAACATATTGAAACAGGGAGTTCTATTTTTAGTCCTAATATTTAGACACATGCAAAAATACATCACACATAAAGAAAAAAACCTTTCACAAGTAATTCTGAAATTTAAACTTTCTAAAATAAAGAACAAAAAAAAACCACTCGGTCATTCAACATGGTTAAAGTGAAGGTCAAGGTTACAATCTTGACCAATAACGATGCAAAGTTTCCAAAATTCATAATAGTACTCACTTGTGAATTTTGAATTGACATTCCCCTTTTTAACTTACTCTTAATCTCCATAAATCATATTCCATAAATCATATTCCATTAAATCGGCAGAATATTTTAAAACACACAATTACTTTACCTTGTTTTAATTGAGATCAAGGACAATTATTTTTTACTGTGCTGATCAAGGCCAGCCGGCACATCATTTAAGTAAAACAGTTCACATGAAGACCTCAAAGATTTAAGAACTTTTTTTTTTAGTTTGGAGAACAGTTCTCAACTATTCAAAATTATTGATAAGTTATTGAATTATAAGACATGTAATTCAGACATTCTTCCTCCACTGAGGAACCAGTCTTGGAGGCCCATTAAATTTTTACACTGTCAATCAAAGGCAGTCTGCTACTAAAACGATCATAAAACCAACATAAAAAAATTCCTCTCCTAATCTGACAATTTCTGGAATTATTGAAACACTTATTTCCCTGTTAAACGAGGCGTTAACATATTTCTTACAGAGTCAAAACACATTCCTGCACTAATTTTTTGGGATCCACCCACTCTGAGACACAGTTGTTAGATCCACCAATGCAGAGATGCAATTGTTGGATCCACTCTTTGAGAGCTACCATGCCTTTACACTTTTGCAGTCATACATTTTAATAATTAAATTGAATATTGTTTCACATGATTGTCACTTTGTTGAAAATGTTCTTATTACCTTTTTAACCCAGTCTAGATAATTTGTTTTTAAAATACTTTCTCTTTCATGGATTGAATATTTTATCATAATGATGACACTTTGTAATGTGACATTAGCTAAGAATTATATACTTCTCTTCCTTAATTAAGAATAAAGGAGAAAAAAGGTTGGATTAGGAATCTATCTGTTTTTTTTTTTTTTGTTGTTTTTTTTGGTCATTAACAATTAATTTCCCTTCCCTTAACAGGAATAATTTATTTTTCACACTCCTACACAGGTTTATATATATATAATTATTTTTTTTAGGGGGGCGGGGGTTAGAATAAAATTATGTACATTTAGGTAATGATCTTACAAATTGAGTCAATATGACCAGAAAAATGTCCCAGTTGATCATTTATTAGTTATACAACAAACAGGTAAACATTGAACCTCTTGTTTGTCAACAGGACCTTGGGATTTTCAATAGTTTTTGAAGGACTTTAACACAGGTAGATATATGACTTACCTGAGTTTTACCTGTATAAATATTTGTCAGACTTCATCAAAGATCATGTACTGGGACATTTAACATTTTATGTTAAAAAACTTTGTGTTTATTACCAGCTTTCGGTGTTAAATAGAATTTATATTACATGCGAGAAAATGCTATTATTATTACTTTTCATTTCTCCTAAATGAAAAAAAGAAATCCCATTGCTTCAGAGGATTTACAAATTGTAAATATTTTACTTTAACATAATTATAATGAATTACAAATTTCAACAATATACTGAAATTTTATCATTTTTAGAAGATAATTTAAGAGATGAAAGCATGCAGAGACAATTACACTGACAAATAGACTGACAGAATGAAAACATATGAAGTGAGAGATAGTAGCAAGTTAAACAGACACAGGGAAAGAAAGAGAGATTAAGAGAAAGAGAATGAAAGAGTGAGATAGAAATATTACAGAGAGACAGCTAAAAATTGGCACAGGGAAGGGAGAGAGAAAAAGAGAATACAAGAGTGAGATAGAAATATGAGTATGAGCACATAGGGATGGAGAAAGATTGAAAGAGAGAGAAAAAAAAAAGAGAGATGGGGAAATGGGGATAAATTGAAATACAAGGAGAGAACGAAAAAGAGATGCAAGTTTTTAATAATTTCAAATATAAGTATAAACACCATACCAGTCTAACAGAGAATCTCCATGCACTGCTATATCACCCATTATAATGACTCCGCCTGTGTCACAACATAAGAATGGACCCCCATAATGTAACAACAAAATTATTTCTTATATTAAAAAAAATTAGACTTTATATCTAGCTCCCGGCGAGATTTAATTATTACCTATCTCTATTTATACTTTATATATCATTGTACCCATTACTCAAAGACTCAATACACATTTCAAAATTAACGATTTCATCTCGGTAGAGAAGTAAAAATTTAAATTCCCCCTTTTCATTCATTTCACTTCATTAGATCTCTGCGGAGCATTTATTGAGTATATCAATAAACCTGATGTATATACTTCACTGTATGTACAAAGTACTTTAAATCGCGGTGATCTGAATGAAGCAGAGCACACAGACACATATATTGTTAACATGAGGCATACGTCACCTAAACTCTTACTATCAAGACACTAAAATTTTGTACCTCAAAGCAATGTGCTTAAATTATATAAATGTTGTTCTATTATGTTTTCATTGAAATTTCTCTACCATGCTGAAGCATAATTATTATAATTAATTGGATGCTGATAATGGGAAAAAAGTGTCAATTAATTCAACAGTTTCTTAAAGATA